CGAGCAAGCGAACGGGCTTGTCATTCGCATAAATGGCATAAATGGCAGTTTCCATTATATGAACAACATTTTCTCGACAGCAGAAGGAAGCGTTTGCTGTAGATGGAAAATCCCAGCCTATAATAAGCTGGTTTGCACACGAACTCAGCACGGCGAATTGTACAAAGTGGAGAAGATCAGCAATGAAAACACAAGCGGTGCACATAGCGGCAGATCTAATGGTGTCCCCTTTGAGCAGCAAGCAGTGTAGGTCCATCATAAGGGGTGGTGACTTTTCGCAGACGTGAGCACTAGGAACGATCAATCACAGACAAACAAGCACCAGTGTCTATTAAAGCACCCACGTACACACCTTCTATTAAAACAAATATCCTATTATATGCACGAACTGAAGGAATCTTGTCTTTTTGTTCAATGCAGCTTTTCTTCAAAAAGCTGCAGAGGTTCATCTTCCAGGCGTTGCTTGATGAATTGCGAGACAGGTTGCAATAGAGACGTAGAGCGGTGGAGGGGTGATTGTGAGTGGCGTCTAATAGAGCACTAAGGAGGGGTTTTCTTGGACGTTGCAGTTGGCGATGAGGAGCGTCGTAGCGGCGGATCATAAGGACGGCGTTGGAAAGTGGCCCCACTTGTCCCATCATTCTGTTTGTAGGGATCGAATCCATGACGCTCGTCCTGCTGACGCTTCCGACAGAAGCATGCATGCATTGTGGCCCCAATAGCCGCAGTAATAACAGATCCGACGAGATGGCTGCCATGGTTAGTGAAAGGGCTGGCTAGGCCCTCTCGGAGTCATCGAAGCCAGGGGTACAGGCGTCGAGTGTGCAGGCATCGGTTGTACGACAGGTGGTGAACCAGCGAAGACTTGTGCGTACGTCAGCTGAGGTCGAGGTACCAGAGAGTCTACATGCGCTGGCACGGTCATGGAATCCAACTCCGCTTTGATAACGTTGCGAAAAAGAGTGTTGGAGGGGGGAGGTGGACTCGGGGTCACTGAGAGGCCGAAAGATTGCAGCTCTTCCCGTATAATCGCCTGGGTCATATCACGCAATGAGGGATCAGTTTTGGTGGTGTTTTCAGGGCTGTCCGGTGGTAACCTGTTGGGACTTAAGTTCCTCTAGGCGTTGGCACGTGGCAAAAACGTCAGTGTGTGGTTGGGTTTTGTATGAAAAAGGCATTGAACGCGACTGTGTCGATCCTTTTCAATCTTTTCAATGGATGGCGAACCCTCTCTGATTAGGACATGGACGTGCTGAAACGGTCACAAAGAGCAAGCACATCCTCTATGTGCAAGGTGTAAGACTCACCGCGTTGTTGCTTGCGAGCGTCCAGTGTCTTCTTCGCGAGTGCTGAACGAACAACCGGGGTGCCGAAGATTTGGCGAAGCTGTTGCTTGAAAGGTGTTCCGTCCGTCATGTCCGTTTCATGATGGAAAAACCACATTTTTGCTACGCCTGTCAGATAGAAAGAAAGACAGCAGAACTTGGCAGGATCATCCCAGTTGTTAGCAGAACTCGCTCGATTGAACTGGCCCAACCAATCCTCCACATCTTCATCTCGAAGTCCGGCGAACGTGGGCGTATCCCGCTGGTGCGCAGTGACAATCCACGATGAATAGGCCATGGTAGCTGGGGCCGTGGAGGTATATACAGGAGCGCTGGTTGGCTCGTCCTGAGGTATGTTACCGGACACCAGGCACAGGCGACCACCTCAGCGGAGCTCCAGGAGGTAGAGCGGGCTGGTAGAGGTCGGAAGATTGCTAAGCACACTCCACTACTTGTGATGCAACGGTGAGGGCAACCAGAAGACATTATGAAGCGACCACAACCGAGGCACAGAACCCAGGCAGGCCAAGTTCCCACACCAGATGAAGACGACGACCACTCATGATGATGAACATGCATGAAGAAAGTAGATGTGCTTAATGAATGCCCACAATATGCATAAAACTAATGTAATGTGCAACAGTTGCTACAAGAAAGAGTGCTTTATGATAGGTGGAGATATGCTGGAAATTTCAAAGGAATATGTCTACTTACGAAAGGTAGTAACCGTAGAGGTGAACCATTAAAGTGAAATAACTAAAAGAATAAAGATGGGGCGGATCTCATTCGGCAAGAATTCTCATATCATCAATGCTAATCTACCACTAACCCTCTGGAGGAAGGTATATAACAGCTGCATCTTGATGGTACTTACCTATAGAGCAAAAACCTGGTGGTTTACCAAGAGGGTTCAGATTAAATTGAGGACAAAGCTTGGAGCGACGGAAAGAAAGATTACAGGAGTAACCTACAGAGACAAGCAAGAGAGCAGAGTAGACCAGGGAACAAACAGGGGTTAAAGATATTGTTGAAAGCAAGGAAAAAAATGTATGTGGGCCAGGCATGTAGCATGTAGGTAGGATAACCGCTTTTTATTAAAGGTAGTAACTGATTGAATTCTCAAAGAAGGCAAACGCATGAAGGGAAGACAGAGAGTTAGGTGGGCCAATGAGATTAAACAGTTCACAGGTATCATGGAGCAGCAGAAAGAACAAGACCGGGTTGAGTGGTGGATCATGAGGGAGGCCTTTGCCCTGCAGTGGGCGTAGTTTGGTTGATAATGATATTCACATGACAAAATCCATATATATTGAACACCTGCAGGCTCATATCAGAAAAAAAAAAGTTTACTCAGAAAAGTGTATCAGTTCACTTCTCTCTCAGAAAAACTGCATGGCACGAGTAATGAAACAGCACCTCGGTTCTGATTTTCTTTGTCTATGTGTATAAAAACATTTTTTATAACATTTATTGTTTTTTGTAATGTTCGTGAATTATTTATTCTTAAAGTGTATAATCTGAATATACCGTAATGAACCCACTCGCATAATGAACCCACCTCCCAACTTGGTCCTTGAAAAAAAAAAAAAACTATTTAATGCATCTGTTCCATTTGTTTCACTGTGATAGCCAGTGTTGTAGACGATCAAAACAATGTTAAATCAAGCCATTATATCCCAAAGTAATGACACAATAAATGTCAAAGCTTAGTTTCGCAACCATGCTAAACAGTTGCGAGCAGTGCGAACGCAGACGACGTCAATCAAAATTTAAAAGTCGCACTTTTTGTGGTAGAGCGGCACCACCTTTTTGCTTATAGTGCCACGCAAGCACAGCGGCACACGAACAAAGCAACAAAAAAAAAATACATGACCTCCGAGATACACTACCTCCAAAACCGCCAAGCGCCCGCCATCTCGGAGGCTGTGCAAAGTCAACCGTGCACCGCCATCCAACGCCGCGTTTTTGTTGACGGGTTTTTTAACTTAGTTGGGGACACCTGCTGCTCAGGGCACGTTCGGTCGTTACGCTAGCTACACGGCTGGTTTTAAACTTACAGTTGGTTGAGCATGCGCTGAAGCAGGGGAACCGAACGGCTGGACAACACTTTGGCATCGATCTGTGCGCATTAATTACGGAAGAAAACAAGCTTTTTGCTGGAAAAATGATTTGTGGCACATTTTGTGGGCCAAAACAAGCAAAACCATCATGTGTGATTTTCGCTGTTGTGCGTCCTGTGACTTTTTTTCTCCCGTGTAATGAACCCTCCCCCAAAATTAGCGTCAACTTTTATGAAAAAGAGGTGGGTTCATTATGCAAGTAAATGTGGTATATATTTTTTTATTGAACTGTTTGCCAGCTGGCAACCAAAGAATCACGTTTCTCACATTTTTATTTATTCCAAAATATTTTTGTTGCTCTACAACTTATAATTTTTAAAAAGAACATTTCATTGTGCAAAATTTGGTATGCTGCAATGCATGCTGCAGTACTTTTCAAACTGGCAAAGAACTATCTCTTGAGACATATGACAACCGTTTTTGCGAAGTAATTAAAGAGGAAAGCTAAATAATTAAGGGCAACCGACGTGCATTTGCCTGGATCGGGACTTGTTTTACGAGGGACGCGATCGAGGCTTATTGGCAATTTTTCCAGTAGTAAAAATTTAGACAAAGCACACAGGAAAGACAAGAACCAGCGCAGAACTGATTTATTATTACTAAGATGCGCATATGCATAGGTTACAAAAAAAGATAAGATCACATGCTTATCCATGAACACAGGCCAAACAAAACTAAGAGGCAGCAAGGAAGCACTCTGGAACACCATATCCCGATTCTTTTTCTGGTAAGGCTTTGAATGGTCTAGTAATGCAGCTGCCTCGAGCGATCGTTGCTGCCTCAGTAGACCTTTTTCAAGGGCACTAGCGCCACCAACGGGTGAACTTATGGGAAAAATTGGTATGCTGCCGCGACGAGTGCGCAGGCCTCACTCTTCAAATTTTCATTTGCACCGTGCCAACGCTTCTCTGATCGAGTGAACTCGGCAAGGTGTGATATATTACTGCATCATTCACTCACAAACTTCAGTGTTTAGAAGCGACATCTTGTTCCTTGGTACTGTAACGGCGGGTTGTAATAAAGCCTGTAGGACAAAAAGGAAGAAGTAGGACCAGGAAAAAAATATTCACACCGGAAACGCTCACTTATAACTGAACGGTTATCGCACTTATTAAAAAACAAATAAATGGGCATGTATTGCGCATGTCATAAAGAAGCACGAAAATGCAAACAACCAAGGCACATATTTACAGTTGATTAATAAAGTTACGTTTCTTGTGTTGTAACGATAACGAAGGTTAGTTGACTTAAATATGGTGTGGTGTTCTTTACAGTATGTCTCTGAGATTTCTCACGTAATCTGGTTAGGGTGGCTGTGCAATATTGCCAGGCTTTCAAAGATGAAATAGCACTTGCATGACTTAAAATGCAAGGTGCATTGAGATGGCTTCATTAAATGAATTTGATACTCGCTGAGGTGCATGTTGATACATAAACAAGTCTGACCGATGTTTACTATATATGAACACAAGAGGAATTCGGTAAGCAACTCTTGTACAACAACTGAAAGAACAATTGGCATGCGTCTCATAGTACTTCTCTTTGCCCACTGCAGACCCCTGTAACCTTTTGCGCTCTGTGGAAGAAATGTTACTAAGCTTATGGTGCGGACAACACGACCCTCACCTCGTATCTCTTCCCAACTTCCTTTCAGACTGTGCAGAACGTAAGCATGGAATAACTGCAATATTCCTAGTTTCTTTGTGGGTGAAGGTCGTCTTAAATAATCTTTGGTTGCAGTGTGAATGAACTGTTCATAAACTGACGCAATATGATAGAGGCAGGACATTACGTCTTCTCACAGCTGGAAGCTATTGATCAGATAATGTGCCCAGGTTTTTTTGTTTGTTGGTTTTTTTTCTTCGCCGAGTGCAACCTTTTTAGATATTGTCAGTTGGGTAAGCATGCGCGGTTGCAGCGTCGAGGAGTGGCAGCGCTGCTGCCGCTTTGGGATTGGAGAAGGAGTGTCGTCTGCTACCTCTGCATGCGAAGTAGTGGGAAATTTGTTTCCAAATACGCAGATTTCAGCTAAAGCAGCTAGATGAGGGCCGAATGAATGCTACTTAGTGATAAATAAGAGCTGTGCCTGCACCTAAAAAATGTATGATCATTTCTTTGTCTGCAATGACTGAATAATGTGGATAGCTTGTGCCGTTCCCCCCCCACCTCTAAGAAATCTTCCCACTATTGTTTACAGAGCGAAAAGTGACACTCCACCACACTTATCTATCCGGCACCCTCTTCAAGGTGGTGCCCTACCCCAGCCCCCGAAAAAAAATCCTGCCTGCGCCTACATATAAATAAGGTTCATCTGCGCCTTCAGGTTGTGGACGATTCTAAGCAAAAGAGACTGTTGTAATTATGCATCGTATAAATTACATGTAAGAATATATTTAGAAACGGTTATGCTTCTTTTTGAATAGCTAAGATAAAATCGACAGGCCAGACAGGCACGCAGTCTTGTGCGAATTAGCACCATAATTCTGCTGTGCTTTATACCGGTGAGCTTACAAGCCTCACAGCTGGCCCAGCTGACATAAATGTTATAGTCTTTTTCTGAAGATGCATTTCATACACAAACTCCTTGGATTTTAGCTGAAATAATCCAAGGAGTTAGGAGAAGGGCTTACAAAGTTATGGAAGAATAATTTAAGAAAAAATTGAACACAGTACAATAGATGACATACAGCCAGTATTTAAAAACCTTTTATTTAGAAATCTCTTTCACATTTTGCATTTCACGCGTGGCGGGACGATCAAGCATGCTTGAGGGAATTAGCAGTAGGATAGTAAACGTGCCGATCTGTAGCTTGCCAGGCTTCGAAGTAACTATGCCTCTGAGGAAAACACTTGTGATCAGTGGCACTTCTTCAAACTCCAAATAATTCTGCAGTTATCAAGGCTTGGACAGCTGCTATTGCACGAGAAGCTTTTCAGGTGACAGTCAAGACCTACATCTCGTATCCAAGGACCTAATCTTTTGCTGCGAGCACATAGTAGAAATTTCACGAAGTGCGTTGGCACTTGACCCAGTGCTGTTCCGAGAATTTTTCTGAATATTCCCGCATACTTGTCACAATCAGCGGCATTAAAGCGCAAAAGGAAACCCCCAAAACTAAAAGAAACCACGAATTTTTAAGACTGTGTGTCGCCAATTGGTGGTGATGTGTCTGACGTCAATAAGCACAGCATTGTTGACGAAGCTACTGGCGTCCCCCTCCGATCCAAAGCTATGTCCAGAGGTAGCAACTTGGCCTCCTGCAGTACAAGACCGAAGAAAGGAATAGAAATATCGAGGTTATCCAAGAAGAAGTTCTTTTTTTTTTTTTTTTCAAAGTTGTTCAAAACAAAGGTATTGTCGAAATCGACAAGGCAGTTGTGATAACAAAAGACTTCACGTTTGTCCTCAGTTGTAGGGAAAAGCTTGTTCCCTCGTGCGCGAACATGATTTGGGAAGCCAGCTGAAACTCATGAGCTTGCAGATGGTATCAACGTATCTCACTTATATTGATCACCTGAAGATATGCACGGGCTGTCATAGCAGCGCATTCCCTTTGATTTCGACTGCAACATCAGCCTTGAAGATGTTGCAGAGGAGCACTTTCGGGTTGTCCCGGAAAAAGTTATGCCCACCATGCAAAAACACGAGGAGGAATCGGTGAGCTCAATAGAAGAAGAAAAAAAAAAGGATAAATCTACAATACTAACAAAGCTTCATCAAAAATGATGCTCGACAACTACAAAAAATGAGAGACGGTTATTAGGGCCTCAGTTTTTCGAGAAAAAGGGAAGAACAACATTTAGGAAATGAAAACACAGCTTTTAAGAGGTTCTACCAGTCGAGTGGACTAATTGATGACTGGTCTTCCTCTAGCACAACAACCGATGCTGCTGAGTGAAACCTTTTTGAACTCAACTTTGTAAGGCCTTCTATTGATAATTTATTTGTTTAAGGCGTGATGGTGTCGGCAGAGATATTGCATTCACCTTGGACATCAACCTATAAGCAGCAGCACGGCTCGATATTTTAAAGAGCAGGCAAGTAATCAGCCACTCCGTTTTGTAGCGCTCCTTTGGCTGACTTCGCTTTGAAGCTCTTCAAGCACAAAGAGAATTTGAAAAATAAAAAACAAAAAACAAAAATCTTCTTCCTGGATAAGCTCGGCATTCCAGGATTGGAGCATTGTTCGGTAATGTGATGCAGGAAATCATGTTGCTACCTTTGGACATAGCTCAGGATCGGAAGGGACGCCAATAGCTTTGTCGACATCGCTGTTCTCCATGTTAAAGTCCAACACATCACCATCACTTGCCAGCGCACGGCCCTCGAAATTCACGGTTTCTCTAAGTTTCGGTGGTTTCCTTTTGCACTCTAATGCTGATGGTTTAGACAAGCGTGCAGAAATATTTGGAAAAATTCGAGGAACAGCACCGAGCTTAGGTGTCCACCTAAGGAATTTCACGTTCCTTCTTAAGATGTGCTTGTAGCAATTGATTACCGTATTTACTTGAATGTAAGGCGACCATGACTGTAACACGAGGGGTTACTTTTCAGTGCCGAAAAAAAAAAAAGAACACTAATGTAACGCGAGTTAAGTGGGGGGAAAAAGTACCTTTATTTGCAGCACATATAAGTGGCAAAGACATCCCAGTTTCTAAATATGAAGTGAGTTCTGTTCATTCGTTGTTTTCATCGCCATCATCGCCGGTGGTCGAGCCCTCTTTGTCACTTTCTTCTTCTCAGATGAGGTCATCCTTCGTGCCATCCATATAGTTCGATATGCAGCACTTTTTAAACGCACAAACTATCCTGTCGTGCGGCAGGCCGTACCAAGCTGTTGACACCCACTCAGCGATTTTCGCAGCGCTAGGTGGCTTTATCCTACCTATAGGCGTCAAAGCCCGATCTCGCATCCAATCTCCGTACAGCTGCCGCATTCTATCCTTAAATGGTTTGTTCAGGCAGACGTCTAATCGCTCCAGCACGGACATCATACCTCCGGAAATAACGGCGAGCTGCGTCTGAGTTTCCCACATCCGCTACTTCATTTCCGGCGACACGTGATCGCGAAGTGAGTCAAGAACTAGGATGGAGGAGCGCACCTGGCCGTCCGCACCACACAGTCTTGACTCAGTCAAGCATAAGCGGAGCGTCTATCCAACCTTTTTCTAGGCAGCGGACAATCACATCCTAGGGGAACAGCTCCTTTGGGCTCGTTTTGTGCCGGAAAATGATGTATGGCAGCAACTTGCGCCCATCCGCCAAGTAGGCTAGCATCATGGTTAGCTGCGTCTTCTCGCCCCGCCGCGGTGGTCTAGTGCCTAAGGTACTCGGCTGCTGGCCCGCAGGTCGCAGGATCGAATCCCAACTGTCGCGGCTGCATTTCCGATGGAGGCGGAAATGTTGTAGGCCCATGTACTCAGATTTGGGTGCACGTTAAAGAACACCAGGTGGTCGAAATTTCCGGAGCCCTCCACTACGGCGTCTCTCATATTCAAATGGTGGTTTTAAGACGTTAAACCACACATATCAATCAATCAGCCGCGTCTTCTCGTTGCCTGTTCTCGCTCAACTTACCAGCTTTTTGCTAGCAACTTTTCGCATAATGGGATTGCTTGGAAAAGGTCTATTATGATTTTACTGCCTTCGTTAGGCTGGTATGCAAGAACCCTTGCCTTTTCAAATAATGGCTGGTGCCCACATTCAGAACAAGGAGAGGTAAAAAACTGTCCCTTATTACATTTCTTACTTTCTGGTAATGGTCCTGTAGTCTTACACTAGCCGACGTGCCCGTCACCTACGTACCTTTGTCTACATGCACGATAAAGGTATTCTGTGAACTATTTCTCTTGCACACTCTACACGGTGCTTAATTTTGCGATTGCCCACATTAATTCCTATGGGACTAGTTCGGACGCATTATTGAGACATAACTGAAACATAAGTCTGCCCTGGTCCTTGTCTTTTTTCTGTGCCTTGTCCGAAATTTTGTGCTGAGTAGTTTAATAATAGAATGCCAATTAGCCCAATCTTATACTGTAAGCCACGCTGCGGTGGTCTAGTGGCTAAGGTACTTGGCTGCTGACCCGCAGGTCGCGGGTTCGAATCCCGGCTGCGGCGGCTGCATTTCCGATGGAGGTGGAAATGTTGTAGGCCCGTGTGCTCAGATTTGGGTGCACGTTAAAGAACCCCAGCTGGTCGAAATTTCCGGAGCCCTCCACTACGGCATCTCTCATAATCATATGGTGGTTTTGGAATGTTGAACCTCACATATCAATCAATACTATACTGTAAGTGCCGTGCAGTTGGACCTGCTTGTAACACAAAGGCTCTTGCTACAGCTGCAGTGCTCCTCTCCTCTTTCACGCTGAGGATTGTTTCAGTTCATTTAACTTCGCTTGTGTGTGACACTGGACGCAGGGCGGCAACTATCTCTTCAATATCCACTATGACCCAGTTTGCCCCCTGCCGGGAGTTCACCAAGTCTCTGGAGGAGTCGATGGTATAGAGTAAGAAAAGGATGAAGCTGTCAGTGCTGCTAGATCCACTACAATGGCAGACAACCATAGACAAAGCACTTTGTCCATGTTACTTTTGCCTTTAGTGGTTGTGAACATTGCAGTGCTGCCTACTTCATTGATGATGCTCCAACACAAGCTGTCCTGAGAGTAAGAAATTTCTCGTAAGGACTGGTTCCTCCATGTGTAGAAGAGAGATCATAGCCAATGTGGAAGCGTTCGTCTTCAAGAGTATCTGGCGGGCTCACTGTTGCTCCTTTCCGGCTGTCATAGCGAATCATGTGCCATGAAAACATTGTAAGCGGTTTATTTGACAAACAGAATTTCGCAGTGCGATGGTTACACACTGATGTTCAATTAAAATCACTGTTGTTGTAAGTGAATTGAGATGTATGGCATATAAATGTTTTTAAAAGATTTCTCTTGCAGGAACATACGATGCTATCAGCCTCTGTCCAGACAATCCACAAGAAAAGCGCATGCATTACCTCCAAGTTGTGTCCCGAATTCTAGCACCTGGAGGCCACTTTGTGATTGTGTCATGCAACTGGACACAAGAAGAGCTCACAGATCACTTTGACAGAGGTTGGTATTACTCATGAAATCAAAGTGTTCAAGTGCACCAAATGCACTGTATTGTTCAGATAAGACCAATTCTGGTACATTTGCTCACTTGCTTACTTTTTATGCTTATGCCCGTGCACTGTAAAATCTTGGTTCTGTTACGTGATTTATTCACGTGCAGACGTACTGGGAGGCCGAGACCTTATGGTGACCCCGCTACCCCGTAGCGGACGATCACCGCGGGTTCACGCTTAGCGAGCCACAGGGCCGCTACTCCGTTTACTCGCGTGTAGCGCACCGCTCCGCGCGCGCTCAACTAATAAGGCGTTTAGCATGGCAAATAGTGTTCTAATGCAAAAGTACACAACACTTTATTGCCTCTGGCAGCACCCCGAACAACAGTACAACGTCCGCTCCCGGGACGCGGATAGCAAAGGCACCCGCACGCAGACGTTCACAATAAGGGGAAAACCGCGAGCACGTCGCAGCTGGCAATGGCGAGCTTTGACACGCCGGCCGGGGAAAGGTCCCTCGCGGCTATGCTGCGCACTCTCACGATGGCCAATGGGCCTGGTCGCGAAGTGTTAGGGCAAACCTCGTACGCGTAGGCCTACTGCAAGTGCGGCTCCTTGTGGTACGACCACTTCAAGCACTAGGCACCGCTCTGGGCTTAGCGTACGCTACCGAAGCCAGCACTCAAGTAAACACGCCTGCCGGGGTGCCCAAGGCCACCCCAGGCAGGCTACAGTCCGCGAGTCCCAAAGGGGACGCGGACGAAGGAAAACACGTGTTTACCCAGCGCCGACCACGGAGAAGAGAGCGCTCCCTCGGCGCGCGCGTACCGTGCCCGCACGTGGCGCCATCTATCGCCCGGCGTCGTTGTCAGAGCAGGAAAAGGAAAAGGGTGTGGCCGTGTGGCGGAATGCCCGCGAAATGGTCGCGGGCGCGCCTCAGATCCCCACATTCTTCAGCAGACCGAGGAATGCCAGCAGGCCGAAATCCAAGGAAGCGCAGGCTCAGGTCGCGCGCTTATATCACCTGAATTGTGGCTTCCCTTGCTTGCTGCTTCGTCGTTGTCTCGCGTTGTTCCCTACATTGGCCTCCGGTGAAGAAGAACATAGCCATCTTGGCAACTTAAGGCGTAGTCACTATAGCGGGACCATAATACGGCTTCAGACGACTAACATATACATCTACCACGACGACATAAGTCATCAGACGGTGTCAAAGGCTCAATCTCATAATTTACTGGTGACGTTCGAGTAAGAATGCAGCTAAGGCCCGTGGTAGTCGAGCCAGTAGAAAGGCCAGTAGTACTCGGTAGAATCCAGAGCCAAATGAGGTCACTATTTCTAAGAGTAGGGAGAGGTCGGTCGCTATTGTGCCATAGCTTCTGGTGACTTTGGTCCTCGGTTGTCAGTGAACGGGCCAATTTTCTGCAATCTTCAGAGTACCTGGCAACATCAAAATGTGGTTTACTCAGATGATTCAGGTGTGTAGGGGAGGATAGTGTCCAGCGTGCACGATAGTTCGCGTCCATACAACAGAAAGAAAGGGGAAAACCCTGTGGTCATGTGCGTAGCGGTGTTATACGCATACCTGATGAATGGAAGTGGTAGTACATTGTCAGCATATCACCGAGAGTGCGATTAAATGGTTCTGTGAGGCCATTTGTCTGCGGGCGATATGCTGTCGCCATGCGATGAAGGATGTTCCACTGAACAAGCAAGGCTTGAATGGCATCAGGCTTGAAAACACGACCCCTGTTGCTGAAAAGCTCTTGGGGAGCATCGTGGCAAAGAACAAAGTTGCACAAGATGAAAGACACAACTTTTCTTGCGGTTGGTGCGGGTAGCACTGCTGTCTCAGCGTAACACGTGAGGTGGTCCACGCCGCCAATTATCCACCTATTTCCAGAAGACGACAAGGGAAGTAGTCCATATAAGTCGATACCGACGCGGTCAAATGGACGCGCTGGGCAAGGAAGAAGCTGAAGTACTGGCCGGGCATTGAGGTGGAGCTTTACATCCCTGGCATGCAGTACAAGCACATAGGTACTTGCAAACAAATGTGTACGTGCCGCACCAGTAGTACCACTGACGCAGGCGGTTGTACGTTTTGAGAGAGCCGGCGTGAACGATGTGCGCGTCAGTGTGGAAAGCAATACAGATTTCCGAGCGCATGTGGTTAGGTATCACTAGCAGCCAGCTCCGACTTTCAAACATGTAATTCTGCCGATAGAGGAGGTCGTCTCGAATAGCGAAATGTGTGGCTTAACGTCGGATAGTTCTTTAGATCGGATGAGCTAACGGGTCAGTGAAATAGTCGGGCAATTGGGAAATTCACTCATCTTTGCCTCGCTTCGATGCCATGTCTGCGAAGTCAATTGGTGTCGTGACAGCTGAAGAAGGTGACGAGGAGGTTGGGTAAGCCTGTAGCGGCGAGGGGTATAGTGCATCAGTGTCGGCGTGCTTGCGGCTGGATCGGTATGCAACACGAGTGTCGTATTCTTGTAGGCGAAGCGCCCAGTGACCAAGGCGTCCTGACGGATCTTTGAGCGATGATAGCCAGCATAGAGCGCGTTGGTCCGTGACGACTTCGAAAGGACGGCCATAAAGTTATAGGCAGAACTTCGCTAGAGCCCAGATAATTGCGCGGCACTCTTTCTCAGCGACGGAATAATTACACTCGGCTTTCTTGAGGGGTCGACTCACGTAAGCGATGACGTATTCTTGGTATCCTGGTTTTCGTTGAGCCAACACTGGCATCGATGTGGATCTCCGTAGGTGCATCAGGGTCAAAATGATGTAGTATTGGAGGCGATATTAATAACTGCCAAAGCAAAGTAAGGAATTTATCGCACTCCTTTGATCAAGCAGAAATACCTTTGGAGATTGTCAGCAGATTGATAAGAGGCGCGATGATGGTAGCGAAGTCGCACCATCAAATTGATTAATTGACAAATTGACGAAAGTATGAGCACAGCTCGATAAAACTTCAAAGCACCTTCATGGAATTAGGCTTCAGATATTCGGCCACAGGCGCGGAGTTTCGCACGGTCGAAGAGAACACCCTTCTTGCAGACGACGTGACCCAGTATAGAGAGCTGGCGTGCGACAGAATAGGCACTTTTTGATCTTAAGTTGATGGCCAGCAGAGGTGAGGCATGTGGGAATGGCACGAAGACGAACAAAGCGAGTCGGAAAGTCGCGAGAAAAAATTATGATGTCATCAAGGTAGCAGAGTTACGTGTTCCAGTTGTAGCCGAGAGGGATGGTATCCATCATCTGTTTGAACGTAGCTGGGGCGTTGCAAAGTCTGAAGGGCATGACGTTAAAACTCGTACAGCCCATCAGGTGTGACGAATGCATTCTTTGATCAGTCAGGGTCAGCCATTAGAACTTGCCAATAACTTGAGCATAAATCCAAAGAGGAGAACTATTCTGCTCCTTACAAGCAATTGAGAGCATTGTCGATGCATGGCAACGGGTACATATCTTTCCGCGTTATCTTATTGAGCCAGTGGTAGTCAACACAGAATCGAATAGACCCATCCTTTTTGCGCATCAGGAAAACAGGGGACGACCAAGGGCTGTGCGATGGCTGGATGACACTACGCTTGCATACCATCAGCTTGTTCGTTGATAATCTGCTGCTCTTCCTCTGAAACTCGATATGGTCATTGGCGTAAAGAATTATGAGAACCGGTGTCAATGTGGTGCGTGATGTTCGCTGTGTGACCCAAAGATGGTTGAGCGCAATCGAAGGAAGAGCGGAACTCTCGAAGAAGGGGCAAGAGTTCAGCGTTGTGTCTGCGATAGATTAGCAGCAACAGAAGGGTGGAATGTGTCTGGCTGCAGGCAGTGTGGTCACAGGTGGCGTCATGGCATTAACATTGAGTTGAGGTTGGTTATAAGCTGGAGGTGAGAGGGTGCAGGAGGTCAACGTCTTGTACGCTGCCCAAACATTCCTGCAAAGTAAGGTGACTAGCGATGATAGCAAGTTCCCAATGAGCATAATGGTAGCACTGGATTCCATGGTGAGTGTGGCAAAAGGCACTTGTAGGCCGCGGCGGCAAAGAAATACATCAGACAAAGTAAACAAAACAATTCTGGCAGAAGCAATCGTATAGGTCAGGACTACAAGGGTGGATGTTTTCAGTGCTATGTCTGTGTCTGCAGCAAAGACAAGTTTGCAAGCATCTGGAAGGGAATCCACCAAACAAGAAGTTGGCAGCGGTGTAAGGGCAATTTCTGCACGTGAGCAATTTATAATGGCCCGATGACGTGAAAGGAAGTCCCATCCAAGAATGACTTTGTGGGAGCATGATGCCAGTACAAAAAATTCAATGACATAAAGTTCACCTTGTATAGTAACACGCGCAGTGCACACAGCTGGAAGGTTCTATGCACTGCGAGATGGCCATGCGGAGCATCAGCCCTGGAGCATCAACCACCTTTCTTTAACTTGCGCCATAGGGCCTTGCAGATTATGGAAACGGCAGCCCCTGTGTCAATAAGCGCCTGTGCGGCAGTCCCCTCAACATTGACGTCGATAACATTTTGCCGCGAAAAAGATGGAGGTTTTGGGCAGTTCGACTTGTATGCAGCTGTTGCCTCCATAGCTGCAGCGATCAGTTTCTCTCTTCTGTAGCAGGTCGGGGACGCATAGGTGATGAAGAGCGTCATCGAAGGGATGGTGACCGGTGGTTCGCGTAGCATCGTTAACCATCAGTGGTGCGTCTTGGTGGCACCCTTGACAATGCCGCAACCGGCCTGCCCACGGTGTCAAATGGAGGAGGAGCTTAGGGGACAGTGGCGGGCGCGTGTCCAGCGATACCACAGGCAAAACAGATGGGCCTATTGTTTGGCATCTTGCAAGCGTCTGAGCGACAGTAAAACGGAGCCAAAGATCTTGCGAAGAGATACGGCACAGCAATCAGGGTTGTAGGCATGACATAGGGCGGCATGGCTGGTTAAGCATAGGGCATACGTTGTTGCGCAGGCTGAGCAGCGACGGCGGCGTACGTGAAAGGCACACTGACAGATGGTTGCTGATGCATCTGTGGGAGGGCCTTAGCGACATGGGTCCGAATGGCATATTGAAGGTTCGGAGCTCATGTGTCAATGGCAGCAGTGACAGCTGGTGTGCTATTTTCTTCGCGGATGAAGTCTTTAATTGTCGAAAGGAGTGTCTGCTGATCATTAGGACGGGCAGCTAGCTGGAAGCTTGCGAGCGTGTCTGGTGTTGTGAGGGCTTGACGAGCAATTGCGCGCTGCCTACGCAACTTGTCGAAGCTCTGACCGAGGGAGATGAGCAAAGCGATTGTGGGGGGATTTCTCACAAGCAACATTTGAAAGGCGTCATCCACGATTCCCTTTAAAATTTGCCTGATCTTTTCTTCCTCAGGCATGGCCGGTTTGACGCAGTTGCATAGATGCAACACATCTTCGATGTAGTCCGTGTAGTTCTCAGCTGGTTGCGGTGCACGTTGACATAAACGCTGCTTGGCGGGAAGTTTGCGAGCCGCAGGTCGTCCAAATGTCCGTAACAGCAGTCTTGAAAGCAGACCACGAGGGAATGTCAGCCACTTGGTTATTAAACCACAGTTGTACAATGTCCGTGAGATAAATTTTGATGTAGCCGGGCTTACTTTGGTCGTCCCATTCGTTGCTGGCGCCGACTTTTTCATACCTTGCCAACAAATGTTCCACGTCTGCTTCAGCAGAGCCGGTAAAGATAAGGGGATCTCGGTGAGGATACACGGTGCCGCAAGTGACGTGGATGGCTAAGAAGGTCCCACCTGGAAAGGAGTCTCGATGGCCATGTTGGAGTCACGAAGAAGGGGAAGCTTACGGGAGCGAAGTTTCAGGATCGTGCGGGAGTTCACACACCTCCACCAAATGTCACATGATTTATTCATGTACAGACCTACTGGGAGGCTGAAAAACATCAGCCGACCGAGAAACGGCAGCAGGTCGAAGTCCAAGCAAGCGCAGGCTCGGGTCGCGCGCGTATATCACCTCCGCTGTGGCTTGCCTTGCTGGCTGCTTCGTTGTCCTCTTGCTTTGTTCCCTACAGTTCAATCTAATTACTTCAAGTATTTCTAAAGGGGTTACAAACTTAATTCTTGCTGCCGAGATTTTCAGCCAAATTAGGCAGTAGAAAAAAGTAATGAATTGAACAAGTTCTTCGCAAACTGCCGCGTCTAGTGGCCGCACCATGAACTAGAAGAAGTGACGCCGCACTCACCGGAATCGGGCATCTCAACAATGCCAGCTGTCCTCCCGGTCTCTAGAGCCGCTTGTCTCTCACTAAAGTTCCCAGAACAACTACGGCAGCGAACAGTGCTTCCGGCTGCGGTGAAGCATCGGAGCTTTCATGAAAGGGGGAAAGTAGGATGGAAAGAGAAGTGAAGAGCTGGACAGGAACCTGGAATGCCCCTTGAAAAATGTGATGCCAAGGCTCGCCTGTATCAACGGGGGCTGAAGATCCACCAAAAATAGAGCCTACTGTTAAAAAATATGGGAAATTATTATTGTTTATCAGAGCAGTGGCATCTTCAGAGTTGAATTTCAATGTTTTCATCAGCTTTTCCTATCTTTGTCAAGTATCCCCTCAATCTGCCGAGTTTTCCCTTGGGTTTTCTAGTGTTTAGAGATGACGACAGCATGCACCGGTGCTTTCGTGTGTGTTTCAGGATGCTCATTAAGTTTATCAAATGCTAGGAGTAGTCTCGAAGTCTATGATGAGCATGCTTTCTTCTGATGATTCGTAGAAGTAATGCTTTTACTTTTTTTTTTAGTGCTGGACATACTACGTTTTTAGACAACCATTGTGAGCAGGTGCTAATTATCTGCGTTGTGTTACACTGTGCCGCTTAGTGATGCAAGCTTTCTCTGGTTCCAGTCTTACAAGTGGACAGGTCAGTGTGATGGGATACACGAGCGGCAGTTCTTACGCATAACTAGGTTAGAACTACCGCTTGGGCTAAGTTTATGACAGATTTTACGAGCATAACCACGATCATCGAGACATGCACACAGTGCTGTACACACGGCTAATTTATTACTTTGAATGTGAGGCTTTTTTTTATGGTGCGCGTCAAAGCAACAAAAAGATAACTTAAGACATGAAGCGAGTAAAAAAGCCTCATGACAACACGTCAAAGAGGACATTCAAGCAAAGTGACAGCACAGTCAAAATTCTTTATTCATCAAGCATATACTAATCAGAAGTAAGGATATATATATATATATATATATATATATAGTATATATATATGTGTGTGGTGTGTGTGTGTGTGTGTGTGTGTGTGTGTGTGGTGTGTGTGTGTGTGTGTGTGTGTGTGTGTGTGTGTATGTATGTATGTTGGGGGGGGGGCGAGGGGGCAGGCATGGGTGGTTGAGTGGCCGTAGCGTTGCATATTGTTCAAGTAGATCCACCGTGAGCGGTCACAACGTGGTTTATTTCAACGTTTCGGCCTAGAGTCTGGCCTTCATTCATCACTGAAGGCCAGACTCTAGGCCGAACGTCGAAATAAACCACGTTGTGACTGTTCATTGGAGGATCTACTTGACTAATATATATATATATATGTGTGTGTGTGTGTGTGTGTGTGTGTGTATGTGTGTGTGTGTGTGTGTGTGTGTGTGTGTGTAAAGTTTAAATCAAGCAACTAATGCGATAAAGCCAGATAAGCAAAGGGCAGTGACACGAGACAAAGATAAAAAAGTATGCTAATAAAGCACTGTAGGTGGTGTACTATTTCTTTCTTGGAGGGCGAAAGTGAGAGCCTGCTTACACGGCTTTCACCCAAGCCTCTGAATTTCGGCTGCCTTTAAAATTTGTTGAGCCAGCCTTTTGGCACTTGCTCACTTGGTAAGCGCGATATTCTCTGCATGCAAGAGATGTGTCATTTCGCGGAAAGGCACTGTGTTGCTTGCAAAATATTGGTGATGATCAACAACCTAATTTGGATAATGATAGAACAAGTTATTATGCTACCTGTGGAATCGTGGTCTGGCATGAAAAATTTTATATGTTAAGAGTTTGTATGTTAACGTTTTTAAAAAGGGCTTTGCAACACTTTTTGCGGGGTTAGAAATTTTTGGCGTGGTCAGAAAATGCTGCCAATCAGTAGTTGAGGCTGCCGAAAGCACAAAGAGTGAAATCGTAAGAGCACTGCACGTGGCCTGGAATTCACAATAAATTCTCAAAGTCAGCTATAAACTGATTTCTCTTCTCTCAACAAATACGGGAAAAGCTCAAAAATCACTCGTCACGGCATTGTAACAGCCACTGGCTGATTTGAGCATGGCATGCTTGGTTGTTACTCGCGCCCGCCACAAGAGGCCATGACTTGTCCACACGTGTGCGCAATCGCACTGAAAAAACCTGCATATTCAAAGGAAAAAAAAAGATAGTGTGTCAAGGCACACGCGACTATTTCCTCTCCCCGCGCCATTTCTTCCTGCTTTAGTTTAGTGCTTTTGTCTGGACAAGAAAAAGAGAGAATACTATTGCACCATGCGACCAATCTCCGTTGGACGAATTCTGGTGAATTCATGAAGCAATGAGTTTCTTGATTAAATCCATTCCATGGCTACTTGAAAAAAGTGTTTCAGGGCCCCTTTAAATGCTTCTTTGTGTACATGCACAAATATGAATTGGCTGGATCAGCATATTTGAAGCTGTTTCGTTCTTACGTGCCTCCGATTATTTTGCAGAGCTAGTGCTCGTGGATACCATACCAACACCTACGTTTTCATTTGGTGGTAGCCAAGGAAGATCTGTCACAGCACTGGTTTTTGGGTTCAAGTCTTCCAGGGTGAAAACTTAATGTTTCTATGCTTATTCATTAAATGTATTTCATCTCTGAAAACCATCTGTTGATTTGTCTGACCTAATGATGTTTTTCATAGTTGGAGAATGTAGATCTCAAAACACTTTTGAGGCTAGCAGGGGCTTTTAACCTTTTGTGCACCTGCAGGCCGCATACATCCCATTTTTTCTTCTGCAGAAAAAATTTACTTTATCACCACCTGTCACAGTTAGACACGACGCAGTGTTGCAGCTATCTACATACGTCTTTGTAAGCTAGAGGAAACTTCGCCTGCGATTCGCAAGGTGCTGGGAGTAGTGCCAGAACACCGTTGACATTTCTTCCAATCCATGCGAAACTGTGTAGTTTTTCTCTCGTTCAGATTATAGCATTAAGAGCCGGCTATTTCACTTTTTCTGGATTTCTAGAAAGGTTATTAGTATCTCACAGTCATCGTGTTTTCTTATAAAAACTTCCAGCAGTAATTAGATTAATAAATGCAACAAAACATCTTCGTCTGCAACAGTAGCATGTCCTTTGTGCTCAGTTTTTATTGAGCACAATGAACATCTGGGATATCTCTCGATATACTATGTTGAAAAATGCACGGATATTGAGGGGAAAATGTGCGGATATTCATTTTGACAGAAAGGACAATACAGTCTGCAAGAAATGGTTTGCGTGCACAGTGAAGTGAACTTTACTGCACAGTCCTGTTCTACTGCTGGAACTGAGGTGCATTAAAATGTCACTTTGCACTATTTGAGAAGTGCTACTCTGCACCACTTGCAGGGGTAGAACAGGGTACATGGCTTTGGGTGCTGTCAAAAGTGGTTTTGTAGCAGGCTTGGAGCAGCCAGAAAGATGTTTTGGAGCATGCTTGGAGCAGCAAGAGGCTTTTGTGAACAAGTTTAGAGCAGTAAGAACATTCAGAGAAGATTTAGCCCATTCAAAGCACTTGTGAAGCTGCATTTGTTTAATGCTGCATTTTTTAAACACTCATCTAGTTGAGCTGTAGCCCCACTATTGCGATAGAAATTATGTGGACACCTCTGATGGGTTTTTGCTGTAGCCATCTTGTCCTGTAAAAATTCCAAATTGACAACATACTGCCGCGCATCGTATGTTCTATCCGGGAGTAAAAGCGCGCGAGCGGGGCCACGAACTCGGCTGAAGCAGAGGTCAAACAATCCGACTCATCTCCACCACTCGGGGGGCGTGTGGGATAGCTTCCAATACCCCCGCCCGGAAGGCCCGTAGTCGAAGCAGAGAGGGAGCTCTTCGCCCGTCTTGAAGAGTATTAAACAAATGAGCGAGAGCGGTGAAGGGGGTTGGGCAGGTGTCGCTCGGGCAACTATGAACTTCGCTCCTTAGCACGTGGTCGGGATCGCTGGTACGCAAACTAGCTCAGTAGCCTTCAGCCAGCGACTCGCATACACTTCTACGTGCTGCACTTCATCGCCAAGAGAATGTTCAAAAAGTGTTGCTCTCTTTGAAACGGTCGTATTCTCGTACACTAGAGTTTTGTAAAGTTACGTGAGATCTGATTCAAATGAGTTAGCTGCCAGTCTCACTTCGTGTAACTATAGTCTCAGTATTGAGGGACTATGGTGTAACCTTAAAGTTTGCTGCTATTGCATCTATTCTCCACACCTGCAACCTTAGTTATGTACAGCCCCCATGTTGTTGTTTTTTTTTTTTGTTTTTGTTTTTTACCTGATGTGCGATCCTCAACCACCGAGTTGAGAAGTGCAAAGCACAGTACGTGCATATATGCTCAATTAGCAGTGATGTGCATGGCGCACCTAGATGCTCCCGTCTTTGTTAGGCTGTTCCGGGAAATGGTCACCATCCCCTTTCTTTTGAGCACCGTTACTTCCATACTTCATTTGTTTTCTGAGTGCTGTAATCATATTACAAAAAAAAAAAAAACACCAGTTTCACCGGAATGGCAAAGCGCCAAATCTGATTGCAACAAATTGTAAGGCTGGCAGCCAGCCAACTACTTTCTTGTCAGACTCTGGAGTAGATAGATATTATGCGGCTAAAGTACCCTTTGTATAGGGTGGACTCAGTATAAGAGTCCTAGCCAATTTGTAAAAAAAAAGAAAAAAGCACTTAACACAAAAGTCAGAATTCACAGGTCACAAACTTTCAGTACCGTGTGTGTCCGCTTTGTGTCCCACACCACATTTCGAGGCGAGCTTTCGCGATGTGCAAGTTCTTGCCACAACAGTTTCCCTCCGCATCACGAAATCCAAGGGTTTGCAGCAAGGTGGTGCCCTCTACTGGAGGGGGAGTTAGCTCCGAACAATGGAGAAGCAAGTGCTTGACAGTCTCTCGCTCGCCACCACAGGTCCTGCACACAGCCGAGAGCGTCTCAAGGGCACAATTAAAACGACTTCTATAGTCAAGAGTGCCCAGCATGCCCGCTCGCACCTCGAAGAGCTGGGCAGCACCGCAGCTGTTGTCATGCAGTGCTGGCTCTGTCGCAATTTCTTTCTTGTTCTCCCGGTAGATGTTGAGGGTGTTCAATCGCTGAGACTCAAATTTGAACTGATGCACAGAAGCAATCACAGAGAGGGTAGGAGGTGACAAGAGGGTTGTAGTAGGGGCGTTTCCAGGACGCAATCTGGAAGCAGCCATGAGGCAAGCGAGCGCAAAACTCAAAACTACAGCTGATAGACGAAACCTCGTGATAATTTCAGGTGGTTTAAACGATGTCCTAAATGGAGATACAGCAGGACTAGCAACCACACTGGGGAATGGGGTCGATAACATGCGCGCCACTTCTCCTCAGGTACAGGTAGTGATATGCACAATACCGGAGTTACCGGTGCGTGACAGCAACCTGCAAAAAGCGGTTGTCAACGCAAACCAAGAAATATGGCAGATGAAACGAGAGAAAGCTTGAGGTGGTGAAAATAAACAGAAAGGTGCATCGGTGGGGTGGATGTCAACGAGACAGGATTCACTTCAATGGGCGGCTAGGTCATGAGGTGGGTTGGCGACTTGCAAGCCGCGCAGCAGCTTTCTTGGGGGGCACGCGGGCCTTTAGGGGTGCAGGATAACTACTAACGAGGAAAACAACCAGGGAGACTCTTTGACAGGTGGTATGGACCGATACGACTCCAAAGTAGCACCAGTATCTAGGATAGCTAGAGTCCGGTGCAGAAATTGACGTAGCCACGAGCGCCCAGCCAATCCTGACATAGGGTACATAACATCCAGGGTGGCAGGAACAGGTTGAAATAAGGAGAGATAGAACAGCAAAGGGAGGAGAGGCCGATGGTATACGGTTTTGTAGAAACACCTCTTAGGGACATGTCACCACCTCCTAACAATTCGGACTATGCGTGGGAATATTCTAATAAACAGAAGGCAGCAGAAAACAGGTGGTATTGAGCCATTCATTCATAAAAGTACAGACTGGCAAAGGGCAAGCAGGAGCGCAAGGAACAATTATGGCTAAAAGTAAAAGTAGCAGGGCAAACGACACTCCTTAGTTTTGTGCAC